GAGCTGCACAGGTAGGAGAGGAGAGGAGAAAAAAACAGGGAGAGGAGGAGACATCAGTGTTCTTCAGGCAGCCAAGCAGTGTGGCTAAAAGGATGGCCTCTGCCTCCAGCCTGCAGGAACTCCATTCAACCCTACCCTGCAGGCAGCTAGCTGCCTTGTGAGCTGAGGGCAGATGAGAAGTGGTATGAATTAGACGAGCAGGGCCAGAGAGATGCCTCAGCAACTAAAGGCTCTTGCCTCCAAGCCCGACAACCTAAGTTCGGTCCCCAGGACCCCATGTGACAAAAGGGGGTACTGACTCCAACAAGGTGTGCAGATCTCCTTACACATGCCTATCATATGCACAACCCAACAAATAAACGAAGGTAATTCTTAAAAAGCACATAGTGCGTGGTGGTGAGCATCCCACCCTTTTATTGAAGGAGAAACACCCTGCCCTAAGCACGCAGCTGGTGGCAGTGCCAGGAACTGAACCCAGGTCTAGCTAACTACATAGCCTGGACTGCTCAGCTTACCTTTTGCCCCTGCAATCAAGCCATGGTTCTTTGAAGCCTCTGATAACCTCTTGTCGTCAGGGGACCGGTTCTGTCCCACTGAGCCCACCAGAGGGAACCGCAGAAAGGAAGCAGCTTCTGGGTCTTGATGTGAGGCTTCTCTGGGGATTCTGGGACAGTGTTCTGGCTGATATACTGCCCAGGGCAAAGCTTGTTTGCCTGATATATATTGAGCTGTTGGGTTTACGAGTCAGTGCCCAGTTTCCTCACCAGCTGTCAGCCTGGGAGGACGGCTGTCCTTCATCTGCTCCATCTCAGCAGCCTGCCCTTCTCTGAGAAATGAGGGGCTTGCTCAAGCTTACCACAGCCCCACCCCTTTCCTCTTCCACCCCACCCGTGCTCCTAATCAGTAAGGCCAGGTCCCTCTGAGCCAACAGAACAGAGCACATCCCATGGGGGGAAGTCAGCTTGCCCTGGGGATGAGCAGAGAGATCTAAGTGGGTCTTTCTGGAGGAAGAATGAAGGACTCTGAGAAACACCATCCGCCTTTGTCTAGAGGTCTGGGGGGGGGGTGATGGTGGTGGGGAATTCCCCAACTAGGATCTGGAATTGTCTTTTTTTTTTTTTCCTGCTACTGGGGTTTGAACCAGGGTCTTACACAGGCTAAGCAAGCACTCCTTGCTGAGCTATGTCTCCAGCATAGGACCTGGGTTTCCTGGGAGAAAATTCCAGAACTACCCTAATATCTAGTTGCTACGGTAGGGCTCCCTGTGTCAATCTCTCTTTCTGTCTGCTCACCCCACCCCCCTTGTATTAGAGTTCTCTAGTGAAATGGAGCTATTAGATATATATATATAGATATCAGTGTTCCGTGTGAATTTTTTTTCTTCTGTAAAATGGGGCTGCTCACATTCCTTTGTTGCAAAGCTGGTGTGGGGCCATTGGAGGATGGATGAAAAAATCCTGGTGGTATGGTGGACACAGAACTAATTATGATGCTATAATTATCTTAACGGGTGTCGGAGATTCCAGCTAAGCTATCCAAGCTTTGGCTTCCCCCCATGTGTGTGATTTTGCCACTTTGAGTGGTTAAGCTGTCATCAGTCTCCTGGAGTGTTCAGGTCACTGGAAAAGGCTGGGGATGCCAGGCAACAGGCATGTGGTGGGGCACCGGGAATGCAGGACCAAGACTCAGGACAGTGACGCCTGTGAGTGTCTGTGATCTTCTCTTCGCTTCCTTTTCTTTTCCTTGAGCTGGATTCGTAGGGAGGCAGACCCACAAGCAGGAGAGAGACACAGTGTCCCCACTCCAACATGACAGCAGAGTGGGACCACTTAATTCAAAGTATCTCAGTCTGAACTTCTGCCCCAAGCTCTCAACCCCAAAGCGAGGGATTCTAAGGGCTCTGAGCTGTTCATGGACCAGGGCTGAACCGAGGAAGCAAAACACACCGAGTCAGGGAGAAAAAGCTGATTAGCTCCTAATTGCTGTTAAATTATATATATACATATATGTATTTTAAGTAGGATCTGCATGTCTAATGTGAGTTTTTGATTACATTTTAATAGTCTGGCTGGGATGAGGGAATGAAGAAGGAAAGAGTCTGTCATCCCTGGCTATAAAACAGAGAGCTTTGGCTTGAGCCTCCTGCCTGGGTGCTGTGTGGGGACAGGTAGGGGCCCTAGACTGGTGTCTGCACTGCCTCCCACCATAAGTCTCTATCTTGAACATCATCTCCAGACCTGCTTGTCCCTTAGGGCTGCTGAAAAAAATACCCCAGAACCTGGTGGCAAAATAGGAAACTTCCAGGAAAGAATCCTGGCCCCAGTGCTGCTAGAATGGCCTTGGGTATCACAGCCCTGCTCACCGGGGCTGTTTTCCCATATGTACGATAGAAGCCCTGTATTTGATATATTTTGCTTTGCTTTTTTGAGGCATAATTTTATATAGCCCAAACTGCAGTGGAGCTAAGGAGCTAAGGATGAGGTTTAAACTCCTGATCCTCCAGCCTCCATCTCCTAAGTACTGGGATTAGGGGTGTGTACCACCATACATGGTTTATGGATGCTGGGAATGGAAGCAGGGGACTCGTGAGTGCGTGGCAAGCTCTATACAGCTGAGCCACGGCCACGGTTCCTTTGCTAAGGTTTTATGTGCTGTGATTTACTTCCCTTTCCTTTCAAGACTGCTCTCTCTGTCTTGAGGATACCAGGCGTGTCCATACCCCTGGCCCAGTGTTGCACGTTCTTACTACTATGTCCTGTACCCAATCTTCTTGGAAGCAAGCCCTCTCCCCCACCACACCACCATGTACATTATCATGACTCTTTGAAGAGGTAAAAACAGCTGGTAAAATATTCACGTGAGTACATACGTCACACACACGCATGCACATGCATGCTATTTTAAAGTAATATTTATTTATATGTTTTAAATAGCATTTACTTCTGATTCTAAAAGTGAGGCTATACCTGATCATTGCAGAAAATTTGGAAACAGACAAGCATAAAAGAGAAAATAAAAATCATCCATAATCCTCCCAGACAGTGATAATCATTCTCATTGGGTTATATTTAAAATACATACATATGGATTTCCTTCCCCACCGAACCCCCTGGTTATAAAATGGGATTTTGCTTCCAATATGGCTTTGGGTCCCAGCAAGACTGGCCTTGAAACTGGTTGCATCACTCAGGCAGGCATAGTAGTTCATGACTGGCATCCCAACACTTTGGAGGCAGAAGCAGGAAGATCAGGAGTTCAAGGTCATCCCCAGCTATATAGAAAGTTTGAGGCCAGCCTAAGTCACATGAAACCCAGGGTCAACAACCACAAGGGCAGAGCTGGAGAGATGACTCTGTGGCTGAGAGCACTTACTGCTCTTGAAAGGACCTGGGTTCAGTTCCCTGCACCTACATCAGGGACTCACAACTGCCTCCAGCAAAGCCGATGATGTTTGACCTCTGTGGGCACTTGCACCCACATGATGCCAATAAACTCTCACACTTTCACATAAATACACACAGGGAGTGTGCTGTCCAGATGGCTTATGAGGTAAAGGCAAGCAAGCCTGCGAGTTGAGTTCAGTCTCTGGTGAAGGGCAGGGCTGACTTCCATCAGGCTGCCCTGGACATTCTCTTCATTTTGTCCTTCTTTCAAGTCTTGGACCCAGAGGGTCCCCTCAGCCATCTATTTCTTCTCTCTATTGCATCTGTCTCTCCTCCCTTTATTCCACCCTCCCATCTCGCTCTCTCCAGGAGTCTATTGCCTTACTCCTCCCCTCCTCTCTCTTCCTTACTGTCTCTGGACCGCCCGGGTTGACCCTCTAACCGGGAAATGCTCCAGAGAACGGCAGTGGGGAGAGAGACATTCCCCATTCCCATTGCCTCTCTGTCTGATGTCTATCTGGGTTAGAAGTCTCCCTTCATCGAGGTGGCAGGCAGTCCCAGCGACACTGAAGGTGGCCTTTGGGCCACCCCGTGGGAGTCCTCACATCTCTCTGAGAGATGCCTAGCCCCTGCCTGTGCTCAGAGGGCTGCCGTTTGCTGGAGCTGCATATTAAGTGGTCTAAGCCTGACAAACAGTGGCTGCAGCTGCAGCGTTCAGGGAGGGGGTGGGGATATACTGAGGGCCCTGTGGCAGACACCTAGTCTTGGCACAGTCCCCTGGGCATTGGCCAGGAGTCTTACAATCTCCAAAGGGGGACAAAGGGATGTGATTGCCTGACAGACGATACTTAACAAACTACACAGACTGCAGAGCTCTTCCACCTCTGACCCCACACTCCTTTGAGACAGGAATGGCTGCCTTCATTTTATAAGTTTAAGGTGGCTCCTGGTCTCGCTGGTGTTCCAGTTGCCAGGATCCAAACCAGGGCCAGTCTAATTCTGGAGATCATTTTTTTCTCCGTCTATTCTGACAACTCCTGAAGGTGCTTTACGGTTGCTTGTTATACCAACTAGTTGCTATGGAGCCACATCTTACATTGGCCTTGAGTTCTGAAGTTGGACAGTGAATGCAGCAAAGATTGAAAAAAATCAAATGTGCCAGAAGTCTTGGCTGGCCTTTATACATCAAAAGAAATGTTTTTTCTGTTGCCATTGCCTTACAGGTCTCTTTGTTGGTTATTTTTTGTTTGTTTTTGTTTTTGTATTTTTATGCACATGGCTATTTTGTCTGCATGTTTGCTTGTGCATACGTGCATGCCTGGTGCCCCCTTAGAGTCAGACACGCTGCAACTGGAGCTACAGGCGGTTGTGAGTTGCCATGTGGGTACTGGGAACTGAACCCGTGTCCTCTGCGAGAGCAGCCCAATGCTTGTCTTGAAAGCCATGCTCACCTTGCTAGGTGTGATGATGGGAAATAACAATGTGTTTTTCATGGTAGATGCACATAAGGCTTGGGTTCTTTAGAGCCTAATGAGCTCATGGTGCCTTTTTGTGGTACCCAGGCTGGGCGAAGCCTCCCCTCTCAAGGCTATTTACCCATCCTTTCCCCCCTAGGCTATGGACTCCGAGGATGACCCCCTGCTGCAGGATGTGTGGCTAGAAGAGGAACAGCAGGAGGAGGAGACTTCAGGGGAGGCCTGCAGAGGTGTTGCTGGGCCAGGGTTACCCTCAGGAGCACAGGGCTGCTGGCGACGATGGACACTGCCCTCCCGGCCCCCAGCCTCAGGGTTCTGGAGCATCCTGGGCTGGGCCTTCACCAACCCCTGCTGTGCAGGCCTGGTGCTGTTCCTTGGTTGCAGCATCCCCATGGTGCTGTCCGCCTTCATGTTTCTCTACTACCCGCCCTTGGACATTGACATCTCCTACAATGCCTTCGAAATCCGCAACCATGAAGCATCACAGCGCTTCGATGCTCTGGCCTTGGCCCTCAAGTCCCAGTTTGGATCTTGGGGGCGCAACAGGCGGGACTTGGCGGACTTCACCTCCGAAACGCTGCAGCGCCTCATCTCAGAGCAGCTGCAGCAGCTGCACCTGGGGAATCATTCACGACCCTCATCCCGGACCCCTCGCTCAGCTCCGAGGGTCACCCCTGCCACTCAGAGATCAGCATCCAGTCCGAGTGAGCGACGTCGACGCCAGGCTCCATCCCCGGGGGACCAGGCAGCCAACCAGAGCAGAGCCCGTCGGGGTGCCTCACGTTGGGATTACTCGCGCACTTATGTGAGCGCCAACACACAGACGCACGCGCACTGGCGCATTGAGCTCATCTTCCTGGCTCGGGGAGATGCAGAGCGCAACATCTTCACGAGCGAGCGCCTGGTCACTATCCACGAGATCGAGCGAAAGATCATGGACCATCCGGGCTTTCGGGAGTTCTGCTGGAAGCCGCATGAGGTGCTCAAGGACCTGCCTCTCGGCTCCTATTCCTACTGCTCCCCACCCAGCTCGCTCATGACTTACTTCTTTCCCACTGAGAGGGGAGGCAAGATCTACTACGACGGCATGGGCCAGGACCTGGCGGATATTCGGGGTGAGCATGTGCACTTAGGGCACAGGACTATGCTGAGTTTGGGCATGGCCAGCGGGCGAGGTGTCAGTGGGGTGTGCAGCTGGGATTGGATGTGAAGAGGGAGTGGGGGAGAAAGCGACAAACTGTGGGATTTGGGGAGTTAGGCTGAGTCCGGAGAGAGAAAGCGTGGAGAGATTCTTGGGGATGGGGTTGGTTAGAGAGGGCCTGGAAGGAAGTGTATCTTCGTTGAGTTTCCATTGCCGTGATAAAACACTCCGACCAATTTAGAGACCAAAGGGCTTATTTCATGTCACACTTCCTGATCATGGCAGGAAGTCAAGGCAGGAACCTAGAGGCAGGAACCGAAGCAGAGGTCATGGAAGGTCACTGCTTACTGGTTTGCTTGCTCAGTGTTCTTTCTTAAGCACCCTAGGACCACCTGCCCAAGAAAAGCACCGACCCCAGTGGGCTGGGTCCCCTTCTGTCAGTTAACAATCCAAGAAAATGTTCCCACAGGCTTGTCTACAAGCTATCTGATGGAGGTGTTTTCTCAGTAAAGGTTCCTCTTCCCAGATAACATTACCTTGTGTCAAGTTGTCCCACCCATACACAAAAACAAGCAAACAAACCTAACCATGACGAAGAGGAGGGTGAGGGTGTCTTGGAGGTGGGGCTTGAGGAAGGTTGGGAGTAGGGCTTGGGTGGAGGGAGGGCACAGGCAGGTAGGACTTCAGCAGATGGAGTTACAGGATTACAGGCTTGGAGTTAGGTGGAGTTCAAACTGGAACCAGAGCATAGTCCTAGTGGGGACAGTCTGATCAGGCCAAGGAGGCTCATGCTTGGGAAACTATAGATTCTCCAAGTTGTGTGTCTGTCGAAGATGTTGTAGTGGGCTGGCTGCTGCTGGTGGGAGCTGCGCACTGAGCTCTCTGGGTTTCCCTGCCCCCTGCAGGCTCCCTAGAGCTGGCCATGACTCACCCCGAGTTCTACTGGTACGTGGATGAAGGCCTCTCTGTGGATAATCTGAAGAGCTCCCTCCTGCGCAGCGAGATCTTGTTTGGAGCACCGCTCCCCAACTACTACTCAGTAGACGATCGCTGGGAGGAACAGAGGGCCAAGTTTCAGAGCTTTGTGGTCACCTACGTGGCCATGCTGGCCAAGCAGTCTACTAGGTAGGAAGTTCAGCCACCCACTCTGTGTGCCTGCCCGTGTGTACCTGTGCGTAGGTAACAAGGAGCCTTGTATGCCCCAAATCGCTTTCCCCATAACCTCAACCCCAGGAAGTCTTTACCCCCAAATTTGAGCAGAGTTGGGCACATAATCTGGTCCCTCTGAATGACCTATTTTCTTAATTGGTGCTAATGATTAGTAGACAGGACAGCTTTGAGGGAGGGAGACAATTCCAAATTGTCCTGGAGGATTTGGGTATGGTTAGCCAGAGAAGCAATTCCTTTCCTCCTCTAATATCCAAGGAGTCAGGGGGCAAAATCGCTTCATTTCTCTGGGCCTGAGTGTCCTTGTTTGTAGGATGAGGCCGTGGTTCCTATTACTCTGGTCATTAAGAAGAGATCAGGATTGGAGATGTGGCTTAGCAGTTAAGAGTGCCCAGTGCTCTTGCAGAGGACCTGGGTTTGGTTCACAGCACCTCTGTGACAGGTCACAGCTGTCTGTAATTCCAGTGTCAGGAGATCCCACAAACTCTTCTGCCTTCTGCAAGCACGTGGCATGTGCATGGTATGCACACATACACACAGGCAAAACACTGATACATATAAAATAAAACAAAATTTTAAAAGAAGAAGAAACGCACTGGGGCCTGGGGAGATCGGCTCAGTTGGTAAAGGGACTTGCTGTGCTGATCTGTGTTCAGATCTCCAGCACCACATAAATCCCCAGAATAATCCCAGTCACAGGACTCTTAGACCTTCAGGCTTACAAGCCCTCTTTCAGACCTGTGGGATTTCCAGGGGGGCTGTGGGCACTGCAGAGCTTAAGCAAGTCAGGGCTGGGTAGATGGCTCAGTTATGAAGTGCTTGCCGTGCAAGTACGAAGACCTGAGTTCAGTCCCCAGTCCATGTTCGAAACCCGGGTGTGGTGATGTGCATTTGTAACCCCAGTGCTGGAGAGGCCTGGAGTCAGGGAGTCCCTAGGTCTCACTGGCTGGCCAACCTAGCCAAATTGGTAACCTCTAGGTTGAGACTCTGTTTCAAAAACCAAGACTGGGGCAGGGCTTGGTGGTGAAGAGTGCTCTTCCAGGGGACGTCCGTTTTCCTGCACCCACATCAGGCCACTCACACCTAACTCCAGCTGCGGGAGATCAACTGCCCTTGTGGCCTCTGTGGTTACTTGAAATCCTGTTCACAGACATGAACACATACATGTACATAGATTAAAAACAAACAAAAAACCCTTTTTTAAAGTGGAAAATAACAGGAAACACTCAAGGTTGATCTTTGACCTCTGGTCTTCACACACACATGCACCAGACCAACACATGTGCATATGCAAGCAGACACACACATACATACACACAGAATTCAAGAGGCCAGCAAGATGGTTCATTGGAACCTGACACCACACCTGATGATCTGAGTTAGGTTCCTGGAACCAGTATGGTAAAAGGAGAGATGACTCCCATAAGTTTCTTCTGTCCTTCATGTGGACACCATAGTATGCACATACACTACACTACACACACACACACACACACACACACACACACGTTTAAGAAAGATATAGTTTGGAAATGGGCTTGTTTCTGGCTCACTTCCGAAAGCTCACCCTCAACAAGGTGCCTGGAACCACTTGGTAAAGATTACTCTAAAGAATGAATGAATGGATGGATGAATGGTTGGATGATGGGTGGATGATGGATGGATGATGGATGGGTGGACGGAAAGATGATGGAAGGAAGGATGGATGGGTGGATGATGAATGGATGCATGGAGAATGAATGATGGAAGGAAGGATGATGGATGGATAGGAAATGGATGATGGAAGAAAGGAAGGAAGGATGATGGATGGAGAATGGATGGTAGATGAAGGAAGGAAGAAAGGGAGGATGGATGGGTTGGAGATACCTCAAGGAAAGGTAGCTGAGAGATGCTGACTGTGGAGGGCTCTTCAGATAGCAACAGTTACCTCTGCTGAAATAATTCAGCTCCTTAGTTCAAGGCTTTGCTCTGGCATTTCCTAGCATGAAGTGGCAGCTGGGGCCCAGAGGACTTGATTTTAATGCCTTCTTTCAGACTCAAAAAATCCCTTTTATTCTTGTATTATTGGTGACCCAAGAGGCAAACACACCTGACTTAACACAGAATTACACGAATCATCACTTTTATGGCTTCGCTGATGACACCAGCGACTGAGAACAGTCCGTTTACTGTTCTCCAGCCTCGTGTGGTTTTGTTGTGTGTGTTAATTGTATATACATTTTAAACCCCATAGCCCATTCTGTCTTGCAGAGCCTGTTCATTGCTGTTTATCTTCGTATTTACCTTCCCTGTTGCTCCTCATGCTGTCTGCGGTTTCAGGCTCCCCTCTGGGACCACCTCCTTGTGTCTGAAGAATTCTTTGTAGTATTTAGCTTTGCTGCTGGTGACTTCTGTTTTGTTTGCCTGGAAAACATCTTCATTTCACTTTCATTTTTCTAATCTCCTTCACTTGGGTGGTGTTCCAAATTGACAGCTGTGTTTATTCACTGTTTTGAAGACGCCACTCCATTGCCTCGTGGCTTCCATCATTTTTTGTAGAGAAGTCAGCTGCAAATCTTCCTTGTTGCCTCTTTAGTATTAAAACTTTTTATTACACTTGTTTATTTTGTATGTGTGCATGTGTGGGCACCTGCGTGCCGCTGTGTGCATGCGGAAGCCAGAGGAGGCCAGCTTTCAAGAGTTTGTTCTCCCCTGCCACTTACGTGGGTTCCGGAACTCTTGATGTCAGGTCTGGCAGCAAACTCTTGTCTGTCCATTGTTGCTCTCTTAAAATGACTGGTTTTCCTCTCCTTTTAATTTGTTTATTTTTTAAATGCATATTTATTTTCCTTTTATGTATATCTTACCTATATGCATTTGTGTGGATTGTATGTGTGTTGTTCTGCCACGTGAGTGCTAGCAATTGAAACCCAGGTCTCCTACAGGAGCACCAGTTCCCTTAACCATTGAGTCATCTCTCCAGCCACCCTTCCCCATAAGACACTCTGTAAACACTGTATAAATTTACATACATACAATAAATGAGTTTTTCTCCTCAAGGGAAAAATTACCTAATTTGTCAAAGTAAGAAAGTCAGAGAGCTTTTCTTCTTGGTTATTATGTATGAGGTTAAGGAAATAGAAAATTTGTTGAGGTGTAATTGGCACAGGACCAACTATATATACTTACATTTTAGTCCTGGCACATCCAAGCATGTTTCCTTGTGTCCACTGACAGCCATCCCAGCCTGCATCCTGCTTCCAAGCTGCTTTCCAGCCCCAACCCTAGCAGTCACCTCCAAGTTTTTTGTTTGTTTGTTTGTTAACTTTATGTGTATATCTATCTGCCTGCCTGTATTTAAACACACCACATGAATGTAGTACTCTCGGGCCAGAAGAGGACGTCAGTCTCCCTGGAACTGAAATTACAGTCATTGGCCAGCTCTCAGGCAAGTGCCGGGATTTAAACCCAGGTCCTCTGCTAGAGCAGGCTCTTAACTGCTGAGCCATATCTGCAGCCCCTACGCTCTGCTTTCTACCATCATATATAGACATTGCTTTTCCAGAATTGTATATACATGGTGTCTTACATTCTATTTTGATGGAACTCACTCATTCCTTCTAGCTCATTTGCACCCATGTTTTACCATGTTTCAACAATACAACACTGAGTAGTATTCCATTGTATGGAGACCTTGTTCATCTGCTTACTCATCAGTGAATGTTGGTTTTGCTTCCAGGTTTAACCACTGCAGATGAAGCTCCAGTGAGTGGTGGTGTATAAGTCTTTGTGGGGACAAATACTTTTCACCTAAGAGAAAAGCCTCATAGTCAAACGACTGAGCACTTGTGGTGGACGTATGTTTAACTTAGGAGACTTCCGGAGTTTTCCAACTTTGTGTCCCACTTGGTGTTCCCATCAGTGGTGTGTGAGAACTCCAATTCTCCCACACCCCAATAACACTTGCTGTCACGTTCTAATTTGCTTCTCTGTCACTGTGGCAAATACCAACCCTAACCAACTTGGGAAGGAGGGAGTTTACTCCATCTTACTCTTCCAAGTGTCAATCCACCATGGAGGTGTGTGTGTGTGTGTGTGAGAGAGAGAGAGAGAGAGAGAGAGAGAGAGAGAGAGAAACTGGAGGCAGGAACTGAGGCATACAGAAGCCATGGAGGGACACAGCGTACTGACCTGCTGTCGGGCTCACATTCATCCACTTTTCTTATACCTCCCAAGACCACGTGCCCAGAGTGGTGCTGCCCACATCGGGCCTTTCCATGTCAACAATCAAGGAAACACCTAAGCACACAGGTTAACAAGATGAGAAATTTCCTCAGTTGAGGTTCCCTCTCACTCCAGTGTGTCAGATAGACAAAAGTCAACCAGCACATACAGAGAGCGCAGTTGTTAAACTATTCTCCATTTAGAAAGAATGGAAGAAAGGAGGGAGGGAGGACGGAGAGACATACTGTGATCACATTCTCCCCCCACTCCCCTCCTAACTGCTCCCGGATCCACCACCAACACGGCACTCTAAATATATTCATTCTCTGTCTTTTGACCAAGTGTGAGTTTCCTACCTTAACCACTGTCTTCTTGAGCCCATTTTTTTTTTTTTTTTAAATTGAGTTTTTCCATTTCATACTATGACATTCATTTTGGGGTTGCTTTTGAGCATGGAACAAGATACAGGTTGAGGTTTATTATTTTTTACGTGGGCATCTGTTTATCTCCGGGCCATTTGTTGGAAGGGCTCTTCCTTCTTCGTTGAACTGCCTGTGTACCTTGGACAGAAACTTACTGTCTATGTGTGTGTCTGCTTTTGGACCTTCTGTTCTACTCATGGATCTGCTTCATACCAACATTTGTTTGGGTTTTTGGGTTTTTCTATTTTTGTTTTGCTTTTTCCTTCAGTGCTAGGGGTTGAGCCCAGGCTGTTGCACATGCTAGGCAAGCACCCTACCTCTGAGACGGATTCTGAGGCAGGAGGATATTGGTTCATCATTGTGCTGCGGAGTGTGTTCAAGGACAGCCTGGATGGTTTAACAAGACCCTGCCTCAGATTAAAAAAAAAAAATTAAAAATAACTGAGGCTGTAGTTCAGAGGTAGAGAATGTGCTTAGCAAGCATGAAGCCCTAGGTTCAATCCCAAGTATCAGGAGATAGGAAAGTCTGCTGGACTTTGAATATGATTGACACCTTAAAACACTGCATCTTTGGACCCAGGAACATGGCATGTCTAATATCATTTTTCATTTTCTCTCTAAGCAGCTCCTATTTTCATGCGCCTATGACAATATAATTTTAAAATTTATTCGTAATTTAAAATTTAAATTCATAATTTCCTTTGTGTTCTATGACCCTGTTAAACTTAGGGGGTTCCGTTGGATTTCCCACACAGATAAGCATGTGTTTGTTATTCTGTTATTCTGAGGAAGACATAGCTACATCTTATTTTCCAATATAGACACATTTTATTTTTCTCTTTCTTGCCTGGTGGCACTGGCTAACACCATCAGAACCCAGTGCTGAATAGATGGAATGGGGATTTTTTTTTTCTTCTGGATCTATTATTTCTTATGCTTTCATTTTAATCTTATTTTTTCAGCCATAACTCTTAGCGGCCACTAGGATTTGTAGTGTACCTCCTTAAATATCGCAGAACACCTTTGAGATGGTACCATATCACACAGTCATCACTTTCTGTGCTTCCAGTGGCCTCTGCATTCTGTTTGTTATGAACCCCACACGGCCTAATTATTTTTAAGTGGCCAGTTTTCTTTTGTAGAGACAGATGGAAACGTTGCATTTCTTACTCATGACATTTCCATTTACAGCGCGTTTTACCCTCAGTGTGGATCCTCATTCCTGCACACTCTCATCCTCTCCCTTCTGCCTGAGGGGCCCCCTTAGCATCTTCAGTAGTGTGGGTGTACCAGAGGCAGTTTCAAGCTTGTGTATCTGACAGAGTTTTGATTTTTGCCTTTGTTTTTGAAATGCATTTTTGCTGGGTATAGAATTCTGGGTTCAGTTTCCCTGAGTGTCTGGAGGATGCTGCTCTGTTGTTTTCTGACTTTCATCATTTCTAACGAGAAATCTGCATTCTGTCTTCTCTTAGTTCTACAGTGTGTTACATATCTTCCCCCCTCTGTCAGTTTCTCTCTCTCTCTCTCTCTGTTTTGTGTTTTGAGACAGGGTATCTCTGTGGCTTTGGAGCCTTCCTGGAACTCGCTCTGTAGATCAGGCTGGCCTCAAACTCACAGAGATCTGCCTGTCTCTGCCTCCTGAGTGCTGGGATTAAAGGTGTGTGCCACCGCCGCCCATCTCAGTTTCTCTCTTGATGGGAGTGTCTGAGCGGTTCAGTTGTGATATATATCGTTATCCATTTAGTTGTTGGGTCTTTGGAACGCATGGTCCAAGCGGTTCACCGTTTTCATCAAGTTTGAGGAATTTCCCAGCAACTGGAGAATCTAGCGACCAATCTGTGAGGCTGTCTTGAGTATAGCAGTGATGTTGAGGCATCATCCTGGAAAACCCATGCCTACTTTATTTCTTATCCCAAAGGATCACGGTCCTCTGTGATCTGGAGTCCAGAGTCGCATCTCATGGGTTTTCTCATATTTTAAAAGTAGTTTTAGACTGATTTGTTTTTATTTTATGTGCATGCATATATGGTTTACCACGTGTGTGCTTTTGGATCCCCTGTCACTGGGGTTACAGATGGTTGTGAGCCACCATAAGGGTACAGGGAATCAAACCCAGGCCCTGAGTAAGATCACAAGTGCTCTTAACCACTCAGCCACCGCTCCAGCCCTTTTTTCTCCTATTTTTGTGGATGCGATGGTAAGGCCAGTGCAGATGTCAAGTCCTCGCTCCATCGCTGCTGGAAATGTCTCTCTTGCTGGATTTTAAAGCTGTTTGGGTGCCGGAGAGACTGCTCAGTGGTAAAGAGCATGTAGTACTTTTCCAGAGGACTCTGGTTCAGGTCTCAACATGTATGTCACTGACATGTCTCCTATGCAGGTTCAGGGGCCCTGATGTCTTCCTTAAGCCTCTGTGGGTACCTGCACATACATGACATACACACAAATAAAACAAAAATGAAATTTAAAAATACAGTCTTGGGGTGGCTGGGTGGGGTGTTGTACCTTTAATATCAGTACTCACGAGAAAGGGATTCAAGTCTAGCCTGGTATACCTAGCACCTTCTAGCCAGCCCGGGATTCATAGTGAGGCTCTGTCTTATGAAAATAAAAATAAGTAAATAAAATACCGTTTTGGGTTGGGGAGGTTGTCCAGCTGTGTTGCCTGAGTATGAGGACCCGAGTTCAGATCCCCAGAATCCACATGTATGCCAGGTGACTGTGGCAGCTCACCTGTAATTCTAAGGTTTGTGAAGTGAAGATGGATTCCCCAAGACGAGCTGGTTATCCTGACTAGTGGTGCCAAGGAGCTCAGGGTCCATTTGAAAATGAATATGGCAGAGAACCTTCAAGGAGGACTTTCTGTATCAACATCGGGCTTCCACACCCACACACATGCAAGTGTGCCTGCACACACGGGCCCACACAAACCGTGTACGCGCGTGCACGTGCACACACACACACACACACACACACACACACACACACGAGCGCGCGCACGTGCGCACGCTGCATCCACATCCGCCAGAGAGAAAGCGGTTTGATCATCCTGGTTGGCTTTCTTTGGGAAAATAACTTACAGTGAGCACACACTGAGCAGCAGTGTGAAACGGGATTATCCAGAACCGGTTTGATTGACTTTAGATTCTGCTGTGGACCGTTGAGAACGGAGATAACATAGCAGCTGATTGTCACGGATTATTATTTGTGTAGAATGGTAGCTCTCAACCTCAGCTGTACGTTGAATCACCTGGGAGACTTGGGCAGGTGTGTGTGTGTGTGTGTGTGTGTGTGTGTGTGTAACGAAAACCCACTTTATTCAGCTCCACCCAAGAAATTATGATTTAATTTGCTTGGCATCAGGCCTAGATATCAGGACTTTTAGAAGCTCAAGTAATTTTAATGAGCAGCCAAGGTAAAGAGCCACTGATGAAGGGCACAGCTCTGGCTCTCAAGTGTCCACAGTCACTTTCAATCCCTTCTTGTCTTCCCTTCCTCCACGGCCTCCCTCTCCCAGCAAAGTCCAGGTCCTCTATGGGGGGACAGACCTCTTTGACTATGAGGTGCGAAGGACCTTCAACAACGACATGCTCCTCGCCTTCATCAGCAGTAGCTGCATCGCTGCCCTTGTCTACATCCTCACCTCCTGCTCAGGTACGGTGTCCCAGGAGGCTCATGTGAGCCAGTGCCTTCTCTCCCTACAGCACGTGCCAGCCTGTTCAAGGGTACCGGGATAGCCTTGAATCCGGCCTGTCCGGGCTGGCTTGTCAGGGCTGGGTGGGATGGTGCTAGACACCGTAGCAAATCTGTGTAGGGACACCTGAGACATTTTTAGACGGTCATGGGTTGGTTATTCACGAGCCTACTCTATATGCCACATTAGCTGCACTTTTGTCCACAACTTACCTCCCCCCACCCCCTCACATGCACTAGCTGCCTCTAACTGCTGCATGTATACAGTAGGCGTGTACTCTTGCCCAAGTGAGCAGATAGAATAACTGGACGAGGCATGCAGCCTTCCATACAGCAAATATTATTGGGCGCTAGATATGTGCCCCGTGCTCTAACTCATCATGACCAAGAGGTGACCCCAGCATAGGTCCTGCACAGTGGAACCTCTGTAGCGGTCTTGCCGGTGAACCTGTAATGGTGTGGCCACACCCCCTTTGGGCGTGGCTTCAGGTGGACAGAAGCTTAAGGCATGACTTCTTTTTGCCACTTGAGGCCACGCCCAAAGGGGGTGTGGCCACCGTTACAGGTTTCCGGCAAGGCTGCTACAAGCCTCTAGTCCCCTCAGGTGGCACACATATAAAACACAATCCTCCCCTTGTTTATGAGATTGTCTGGAAGAGGCCCCATAGGCAACCCGACTTCAGATGGTTCCATCTGCCACACAGGCCTCCTGCCCGACCCCTTCTCTGGGAACGAAAGGCTTCCAATTCTGCAGATTGTCACTACACCAGGCTGGGAGCAGGCAGGGGGCCCAGGATGAGGGGCTGAGGTCAGGGTTACTGAAGGGGGCTGTGTTCTGTGAGGCCCCCCCTGACCCTTCCACCCCTCCCCTGCCCAGTCTTCCTGTCCTTCTTCGGCATCGCCAGCATCGGTATCAGCTGCCTGGTGGCACTGTTCCTCTACCACGTGGTCTTTGGCATCCAGTACCTGGGCATCCTCAATGGAGTGGCTGCCTTTGTGATCGTGGGCATTGGTGAGTTGTCCCCCAGCCACGGCAGGGGACTCCCACTTAACATCTCTGCCCCTTCCTTCCCCTCTTGGGAAGGTGTTCTGGGTGATGATGAGGGTGGTGGGAAGATAACTAAGCTTTGGAAGAGGGGTGTGTGCGTGGGGCCAGGAAGCATGATGGGTAGGGCTTGAACTCAGTGAGTGTGGCCAAGGAGTCTGGTAGGTGTGGCTTCAGACTTTGTGGGTGGACCTTGGGGACTGGGTGAGGCTAAAGAGTCTGGTGGGTGGGGCTCGAGCTCAGGATGGAGCCAGTCAGTCAGGCCTTGAGCTGAGCAGCCAGACTGTTCTGCACCCGGCCTCAGGCACGCTGAAATGGGACCTGAGCTGAGCCACCTCTGGGCCTCCATCCCGCAGGTGTGGATGATGTCTTTGTGTTCATCAACACCTACCGCCAGGCCACCCACCTGGAAGACCCCCAAGTGAGGATGATCCACACCATCCAGACGGCAGGCAAGGCCACCTTCTTCACCTCGCTGACCACTGCCGCTGCCTACGCAGCCAACGTCTTCTCCCAGGTGGGAAGCCTGCCCCGAAGTCCCTGCCCTGACTTCCCATCCATCCGCCCACACATGGCTGGCTCCTGACCCCAGCACCTTCATCTCAAGGCCTTGCTGTGACTCTGCCGTCTGTTGCTGTGACTAACCACCCATTCCAAAACCAACAAGTGGGTGGTTACACCAGTGCGGTCAGTTGCTGGTGCTGGTGAATAGGCTGCGGCCCTGGGCGAACGGGAGTTTCTGAAGCTCTTTACCATCCCATCTTTACAACCCAAGATGCAAGTATAGGCACCATCTCTGTTTTCCTAGCACAGAAACTGGCCCAGAAAGCTAAAGTGATTCTTATGGTCACACGGCTGGTAAATGGTGACCCCAATACAGCCTCCTCACCCCTGGCCTGAACTCTCTCTCCCTGCCACTTCATGCCCCGTTTTGATCTCTTGTACAGTCAGTCTGTCTGTCTCCCTCCCTCTCTCTTTTCTCTCCCCTCCTCTTCTCTCTCCCTCTCCCATCCTCACTTCCATGTTCCCGAGCGGGCTCTGTGCCAACGAGCACATCTTTGAGAGACCTCGGGACTGGGCCCCAGAGCTGACGTAAACCTCTCTGAGCCTCGGTTCCTCAGTGGATTATTCTAGGTCTCAGATGAGCCCATAGTCAGGTGGTTTCACAAACTTCAGGTCTGGCTGCTGATTGGTGAGAGTTTCCTCCAATCACTGCAGCCCTGGGCAGGTCCCTTGGGGTTTCTGGGGCTCCTGTCTCCTGCTTCTGTGGTTGGGTACCAACCTTCCCTTCCTCCTCCTCAACCTCTAGCCTGGTTTTGCGGGATGCTATCGGACACTTAAGCTGGGTGAGGTGCTGTCCCCAGCTGGCTGCAGGTAGCCCAGAGCCTCTGCCCTCAGCCACGCCTGACCATGGTCCTATCCCTCATGCCTCCTGGCTACAGATCCCAGCTGTGCATGACTTCGGCTTGTTCATGTCTCTCATTGTGACCTGCTGCTGGCTGGCTGTGCTGTTCACCATGCCTGCCGCCCTGGGCCTCTGGAGCCTCTACATGGCACCCCTGGAGAGCTCCTGCCAGAGCAGGTGAGCCGTTTGCACCCTTCACACCCTGAGCAGCCACAGCACCCTGCCCTCTCTCTCTCTCTGAACCCTCTGGGCCTCTTCTGTGTGCTCAGTCCTGGGCTAAGCAGGGACAGGGAAGGAACAGCTGTCGTCTAGTATCAGTTTGTGGTCCCCTGTGAACAGGAGGTGGGCACACCCCTGCACATCCTTAACCACCATTCCCCTGAAGGACCCAAGGGACCTGTGTCCTCTTACTGTGCCTTTTATGCAAATGAGGAACCTAACCTAGGGCTTAGGGTACCTGAGGAATGACAGCTGAGGGTAGATGGCACCAGAAGGAACTCAGCACTGGCTCATGTAGTCACCGGTGCCTTCCTGAGACGCAGGTGTAGCCGTGTGCAGTGTGGGCTTATGGGATTTCCTGGCCTGGCCCCGTCCTCTCTGGGTGACTCCTAGCCCCACACCTGTCCACTGCCCTCCACAGCTGCCACCAGAAGTGCAGCCGCAAGAGCTCCTTGCATTTCCCTGGGGACCTGTTTGCAGCTCCAGAGCGGGCTGGAGGCGGCCCTGCCCACGGCCCCCTACCCTACCTGGACGATGACATCCCCTTGCTGAATGTCGAGGATGAGCCAGGTGAGAGCTGACCGGGACTGGCCTCCACAGGAATGTTCAAAGATAGGCTGGTGCCAAGGGGGCCAGGCCAGATGGCCTGTGGGGACCCTCACCCAGCATGTGGGATTCTCCAGGGCAGGTGTGGGCCAGAGCAGGTTGAGGCTCAGACTTTGACTGGCTACCACTCTGCCTGGCAGTGTCCCTAGAGCTGGGAGACGTATCGCTGATATCTGTGCCCCGAGAGGGTCTGCAACCTGCCTCCGATGGGAACAGCAGGAGTCAGCTCCTTGCCCAGCTGCAAGAGCTGTTGCACCACTGGGTTTTATGGGCAGCTGTCAAGAGCCGCTGGGTGATTGTAGGTGAGCATGAACAACGCCCTTCCTGCCACCCTAGGATCCACCTCTACACTGGCATGAAGGTAGACACACCCCACCAAAAACAAACAAACAAACATACATACAACAACAACAATCTGCTATCAAGGAAGCCCGGGGTGTGAAATAGCATTCAGAGGCCTGGGTAGGGCCTCCTCTCTGCCGCCTCCTCTTCCCACATAGGCTGCATCTGGGCCTCCCCAGCCACAGTCACAGCTGTGTGCCAGGCAAGAAAGCAGAGTCCTCGTGGTTGGCCCTGGAATAGGCCAGCCTGGCTGAGTTGGGCCCCTGGTTCTGCCCTTTGTGACCTTGGCTGTGGCAGCCAGTCTAACTCTCGGGTTCCTGTTCTGAAAACAAGGGTGGTAACAGGGCCTAGGGTCTAGGGTGCAGCTCAGTGGCAGAATGCATGCTCCAGGCTTGGATTCTGTCTTAGGCGTTTAGTAAAATAACTCTAAGAGTGTGATGAGTTTACAAAGATCTTAGCCTGGCACAGGCGGATGTGCCGACTGCTCAGTATGCATGAGGAGCCATGGCCATCTTCAGTGGCTCATCAGAGCTGCTGCAGTCAAGCAGAAGTACCAGGACTTCGGGGACTGTCAGAGGCTCCAAGACACTAGCTAGCTATCTTAGTTAGGGTTTCTAGTGCTGTGAAGAGACACCATGACAGCGGCAACTCTTATAAAGCAACGCATTTCATTGGGGTGGCTTACAGTTTCAGAGGTTTGGTCCGCTGTCGACGTGGTAGGACATGGCAGCGTAGAGGCAGACCGTGCTGGGGAAGGAGCTTTTGAGAGTTACATCTTAATCTGTGGGCAGCAGGAAGTGAACTGTGTCTACACTGAGTGTAGCTTGAGCATAGGAGACCTCAAAGCCTGCCCTGCAAAGTGACACACTTCCTCCAACAAGGCCACACCTACTCCAACACCACCACACCTCCTAACAGTGCCTGTGAGATTATGGGGCCAGTCACATTCAGACCGCCACACGAGTCCTTGTGGAGGAGTGTCAGCTTGTAGCTTACAGCCAGGCCCCAGCAACTCTGCTGTCCCTGCCTCCCGTGGGGCTATCCCTCCCCCCCACTCGCTCTCTCCTCACTGACAGTGATCCTGCCGGGGCGGGGTGCCAGCCTCGGATCTTTCGAGGGGCACCATCTCCTACCAGATCTTACTCACAGGGCTCTTCGCCTCCATCCTCATCCTGTCCCTGGTGTTCGCCAGCCGGCTACGCCCTGCCAGCCGGGCCCCACTGCTCTTCCGGCCTGACACCAACATCCAGGTGCTGCTGGACCTCAAGTACAACCTGAGTGCCGAGGGCATATCCTGCATCACCTGCTCAGGTGAGGAGGATCCCCGCTGGCTGGGCCCATTTCCTGTGGTGTCTGAGCCCACTGGTGGCCTGAGTGATGAGATACTGCAGAGATGCACTGAGCAGGAGGGACAGACATCCTGGGTGTCCACATTACCGAGTCAGGGACACGCCATCACAATAGCAGAGGGAACCTTTGTGGGGGAAAGAGAAGGTGCTTTGTGGGCATGAATATCCTGGAAGGCTGCCCGAAGGAGGTGTCTAAGCAGATACTTAAAGAGTAAGCGTCATCAAGCTAATAGAGCTGGGGAGGGAAGGGACAGGTTAGGACAGAGGAGAGGAAGGTCAGTCAGGCCAGGTGGGCAGGGGCAAGGAAGGCTCCGGGCTGAGGCTGTACGAGGAAGGGCTTAACCAAGTCTGGGAGGGGCGGCTGCAGGAGCCGGGACTGGTCTGTCTGAGGGGGATTGGGTTGGAGGGTAAGGTGGAGGTGGGCAGGAGGCTGGCACCATCTGGGAGGAGCTAACTTAGGAGTCACTGTCTTAGGAGTGGCTTGATACCTGTAGGATGATGACACACACACAGCAGGTACTGAGATAACCCAGTTGGGGAGGAGCCGCTTCCATGGTATCTGACCCTTACTTAGGGCGGCGAGACCGAGACCAGGGTGGGGTAAAGGTGGGCAAGTGTCGAACCACTCTGGTCAGGTAGGCAGAAGCAAAGTGAGAGAATGCTTAGCTGAGCTAGCTGAGTGCCTGCAGCTGGGAGAGGAGCCCGGCCGCCACCGCTGTAATCTGTAATTGCCTTCACCTAATTAGGGCGCTGTTCCCATTAACCCAGCTTCCCCCTTGGTCGTGGCATGAGCTGAATGCATGATAGCAGCCTGGAGTAGACAGGTGCCCGGAGCCTTGCAACTCAGTCAGCCCCAGCGCAGCCCCCAGGTGTCCACTAGGGCTCAGAGCTGCGCTGTATCTTCACAGCACACATTCCCCGCCACCCCCACTTTCCAGCTGTGCAGACACCAGAGCAGCCATCTGAAGGAGGGCCACCTCATACCTGCAACCGCTCTGAACCCCTTCCTAGGGGGCCTTTGGTGTGGCAGCAGAGAGGACTATAGATTTACAAAGGGCAGCCTCCTCTCCCAGACTCCCCTCACTTCCTGTGCAGTCCCTGATCGCCCCCCAAAAAAATTACGGCTTTCTTCCTTTCTGATGAGGTTAATAACCCTGACCTCGGGGTGGCTGTGCGGGCAGCTATTTTAGTGTGTGAGGTTTCTCTCAGTTAAACAAACACTTTGTCTGTAGTGCTATGACAAAGCAGGGCACTGTCCATCCATACCCCCACCTGATAATTGGGGAAGTGAGGCGTGGGGGGGGGGGGTACTAGCATGTGTGGGCATCGCCAGCATGACTTCCTCCAGATGGGAACATAATGGACATTTGATGTTTTCCTTGGTTCTGTTGAGTCTCCTTCGAACCATTGATAGCCACTCCCCCCCCCAGCCTCTGGGTGCTTGCAGATGCTACCTTGCCCACCTTGTCCTCCAGGAGTGACTAGAGGGACTCCCATGTCCCTGACTCAGTGTGTGTATGGGGGGGTCAGGTCTGTTCCAGGAGAAACCCCACAGCCTGCAGAGCAATGTCAGGACATCCCTGGAGAAGAAGAAGCGAGGTTCTGGGGCTTCCTGGGCCAGCCGGCCTGAGGCCACTGCGCAGGGTGAGTAGGGCGAGGTCCATAGATGCAGCCCGGTGCTCCCATGCCTGACCCCACATGGAGAGCAGATCACATCTAGAGCTGATGTTCCCATGGGAACAAGAACCCGTGTCCTTGGGTCATTTAAGGGACAGCATATAGAAAATTCAGGTCCTCACCCACCATCTCAACAGCCCTCAGAACTCAAGGAGAACTCAGTTTCTTCTGCCAACTGCAGCCTTCATGAGCCTGCCCTGGTCACCAAAGCCATCCTGAGAGTCAGTATAGGGGTGTCCTGAGCCTTGACTCATCTCTCCTGGGGTCTCCAGAGGGAGTGCTGGGACAAGGGGAAGTAACCCTAGTGAACAATTATGTTTGTCCCTGTCACCCCATGGTACCGTCATGAGCTATTTCTACCATTGTCATTACAGACCTAGCCCCATCTTTCATACTGTGTCCACTGAGGGTACCTCTAGCCTACATCACTGCTGGCATATCCCACCATCGCTGGAGTGACTCTATCTGTGACTGCTACCACCTGCCACCATCACTGTCACTAACCTGTCCCATGATCATCAACACCCCCCACCATCATTCCCATGGACCCTTTCTAGTTGAAAGGGTCAATCAGCGTCAACGCTTGAGGATGAGCCCAAGATCCTAGCTCAGCTCCTCAACCGACAGAGCTTTTTGTCCTATCCTGTAGCTGCTAAGGTCACTGTCCACTCCTCTTCCATCCCTTGCTTATTCTTAGAGTCCATGAGCACCGTGTACATCTCCAAAGTGAAGAGCAAAGGCCGTCCAGCTGTCTACAGGCTTTCCCTCAATGCCAGCATACCAGCCCCCTGGCAAGCCGTGTCCCCTGGAGATGGAGAGGTGCCATCCTTCCAGGTGAGCCTCGGCTGTCATGAAGTTAGGCACTGAGGAGGAGAGGTCATCAGTGCCATACTGGTGGATGCTAGCCATGTAGCCAGGGAACAGGGCTCTTGAGGATGGAAGTGCTCCAGGCACATGAGGACCAGCCCGTAGCAGTCAGTCAGCTATGTCAGTGCCTACATCCGGGCAGACTTGGGTTTGAGTCCTAACTCTGGCACGTGTAACTTGCATGTGGCTGGGCAGGTGATTCCGCCTCTCTGAGCCTCTGTCTCCTCGTCTATGAAATGGGGACATAAAAGGCATGGGTGGATGTACAGGGAACTAGAGTTGTGTACCATCTGACGTGTGGAATGTAGTAACTGTCCACACTGGCAGACCATAGTTCATCCTATAACAAAGAGGTTGCCCAGAAGACAGACTCCCAGGACCAGCCCAGATTCAGTGTCCCCTCAAACAGGATCAGTCATATTCCTTTAGCCTCTCTAACCTTCCAGATGCCTGGCACAGAGGAACCTACCTGGTCAGATTTGTCCTTCCCACCGCAAATGCCACCCCTCCCCCCCACAGCCCTGCTTGACCTCCATTCTCGGGGTGCCCATCCCCACTGCCAACTCCATGAGGGCAGGGCCTCGCCCATCCTGCCCAGACTCAGTCCTTAGATCCAGGCACAGAACCTGTCCCAAGGAGACACCCACTATCCTAGTTTCTTTCTCTTGCTGTGATGAAATACCCCGATACAAAGCAACTTAGGGGAGGAAGGGGTTTATTACAGCTCTGGTTACAGGGCAGGGTGGGAGACAGGCTGAGGAGGGAGGGGACAGACCTTGAGGCCGGGCAGGCCGAGGCAGCCTCCCCGAGTCACGTGTCTTGTCTCTGTCAACCCACTGCTTAGGTGTATAGAGCGCCTTTTGGTGACTTCACCAAGAAGCTGACCGCTTGTATGTCTACAGTAGGGCTGCTCCAGGCGGCGAGCCCCTCCCGCAAGTGGATGGTGACGGCCTTGGCCTGTGATGCCAAGCGGGGCTGGAAGTTTGACTTCAGCTTTTACGTGGCCACCAAGGAGCAACAGCATACCCGGTAAGGGCCACACATAAGAACCACGAACAAGGGCCACGGGGAGGCCTGTGTACACCACCCAGGCCACTGCTTCACCTCGCGTCTCCCTCTCTCTCTAGGAGTGGGGACATTAGCAAAGGTCACTGGCTCACAATCCCCCCCACCCCAGTCTGCCCTCTTCCTGTCACCATGCCATCTCTTGGACCCACCCCAGGACCTTGGCATTCACCACCCCCTGTACCCAGAACATCCTGAGCTTTACTCCCCCAGATTCAAGTTTCCAGCCTAATGCCACCTCCTGGGGAAGGCTGTCCTGTACAGACCTCCTGCCCCATCCAACATCGCCCCCACTCAGACCTGCATCCAGCACCTGCTGCTGTTCCTGTCCCGGCCGCCACCTACAGTCACATTGGTCCAGCACGTGGCCTGTCGAGCCCCAGGAATGTGCCCTTCAGTGCACTCTGAGAGATTGTTCTGGTTTCGTCCCACATGCATTTTGTGTGGTGTCTGGCTTATGACAGGCACTCAGTAGGAGTCTGCTAGCTGGATCCGTGTGTGACACACTTCCTGTCCAAGGCTCTCACCCACTTGTAATAAGCTGCAGGTACCCTGTGTCCTCTCCTTCATTGTTGGGGAATGGCATAGATTGTATCTGTTGCAGCTTCTACTTTACACTCAGTCTGCATGCAGCAGATGCCTAATTGGTGATGAATGAGAGCTACTTTCTCCACCTCATGGGGTCCCAAGCCCCCAGGGCAGTCTTGTCCCAGGCTTTTATACCCTTGTGTTTGAACACAGCCTCACTTATCAGGTAAGGCTGTCTTGGCACAAGTATCCATCCATTGTTTTTAACAAACACGGAAGGTAGGCTGTGTGCCATCACGCTAGGGTCCGGATGGGGTAGGAAGTACCTTTCTGGGAGACGGCAGCTACCAAGTGGCAGCAGCGTCCTGGCAGGCTAGCATTCCTGCTCCCATTCCGGAAGGGCGTCTCAATGCCAGGCCTGCACTAAGCGTGCTACCTGGGGACCGCAGTCTGACAGGGAACTGGCTTCGGGGCGTTCAGCTCCCCCATCCCCACAGATGGAGTAGAGTCAGGAGGCAGCGGGTGTTGATGTGGCTCTAGCTGGGTCCTTTCCACTTAAACATCCTTGACTCAGGGTGGACTGTCCACTCCTGAGCAGCCAGGACTGGACTTGCTCTAGATGTCCAACCATGGCCTGGAGCCTGGCAGCTCCCTGGATGAATGTTCTAGAAGAAACTAGAAGCCAGTGACAAACTCAAGGCTCCTTGACTCCTCAGGTTTCCACGGGTCAGTAGTCTGCTGAGGCGAGACACTAAGGCTGGCCCTAGGCCCTTCCTGAACTCTGGACACTTGTGCTCACTCTCCTCGGGTCAGTGTGGGAGACAGAGCCAGGGGAAGAGCCTTGATCAGGGCCAGAGTGCTCTTGTCAGAGGCAGTGTCAAAGCAAGTCACCAGATCCCAGCCCTGGGCATCCTGTGGCCCTGTTCCGGGGGAGCCCAGCTTGGTCCCCCCCACCCCTGCTGGCCTCTGAAGTGGCCTTGGCTCACCTCACGTCCTTTGCGTTTTCTTGGCCTTCTCGACTCAGCCTGGCCTCCCTGCCTCCACAGGAAGCTCTACTTCGCCCAGTCTCACAGGCCCCCCTTCCACGGGCGCCTGTGTGTGGCGCCACCTGGGTGTTTGCTCAGCTCCAGCCCCGACGGGCCCACCAAAGGCTTCTTCTACGTGCCTAGTGACAAAGGTACTCGTGGGGCCACAGCCCTGGGGAGACGGAGGGGCCCTCAGAAGCCTGGGGCCTACCCTCAGTGTTGTTTCTGACTTCCTCCTGCAGTACCCAAGGCCCGCATCTCTGCCACCTTCGGCTTCAACCCTTGTGTGAACACAGGCTGTGGGAAGCCGGCAGTGAGGCCACTGGTAGACACCGGGGCCATGGTCTTCGTGGTCTTTGGTATCATTGGCATCAACCGCACCCAGCAGATGGACAACCACGTTATCGGGGACCCGGTATGAGCCCTTTGGGAAGCCATAGAAGGGTCCAGCTGCAAGAGCAACCTTGAAAAGTGGCACCTGTGCATGGCCTGCCAGTCCAGTCCTTCACACACACACACTCATGACACCTACAAAGCTCTTCCAGCCCACACAGGACCTCCCCAGGCCCTGAGGAGGCACTGTTCCCCTGGAGGGCCAAGCAGGACTGACTGAGAATTACTCAGGAATATGGGTACATCTGGGGACCCACACTGGCTGGCTGTCTCCGTTAGCGGCTGGAACAGAGCCGAGAGGAGTCATGTGTGAAACCTGTCCTCCTCTGGGGTGGGTTCTGTGACCATGTGTGGTTCAAAGGCTGAAGGCCTGGCAGGTGTACTTACAATGACTCTAGTTAGGGGTGGACACAGGCGTGGCAGGCACAACCTCTTCAGTCACAAAAGGAAGAAGATGAACTCTGTCTTCCCAGCCCAGGTAGTTAGTGTCCACGCTGAGAGCAGAGGCGGGAGCCTGAGGAGGGAGGGGACAGGCGAGCACCCAAGGTAGAGCTGGCTGGAAGCAAGGGAGAAAAGCATAAAGTCCAGATGAGAGAAATCACAGAGGCGAGAGCAGGGGCTGCAGGGTGAGCCATTACTGGAGCAGAAGTGCCCAAGTGTCTGAGAAAGGAGAACAATGGGTATCTGCATGCTGTGGTGGTAGCACAGCTAACGGGAGATGCCCAAGGGTCTGACCCCGAGGCGGGGAAGGGGAGCCTGGGACCAAGTCCGCAACTCACTGAGTGCCCGGGCCGGTGTGTCTCCTTGGGAAAGGGCAGCGTCATCTATGACAGCAGCTTCGACCTCTTCAAAGAAATCGGACACCTGTGTCGCCTCTGCAAAGCCATCGCGGGAAACTCGGAGCTGGTGAAACCTGGCGGGGCCCAGTGCTTGCCCTCAGGTATGCGTGGTCGTGGCTGGGGAAGCTGTGTGGCCATGGCTCACATGATAATGCATGCCCAGTGTTTGGATGTCTGTGCTCACAGCTCTGCACATTTCCCAGATATGCGTAGGCTTGCAAGTGAGTAGGAATACACAAGCGTGTGCTAGTGTGATGCGGAGGTACGCCTCAAGGGGGAGCTCCTCCAAAATTGAGAGCAAGGCCTGTCCCTGGTCCAAAGACTACCTGGCTGAGGAGACCCAGGATGCTACCCTCCACCTCAGTGGCAATTATGGGCTGTAGGTCTCTCAATGACACTGCCCGATGTTTGCAAACACATTGGAAGCTTGAGAGGCGGGTGAGTGTGTGCACCTGGGTGCGATGTGTAGGACTGACCACTCTTCCTGCCGCAACTTCCTCTTGCTTCCTACAGGGTACAGCATCTCCTCCTTCCTGCAGATGTTGCACCCCGAGTGCAAGGAGCTGCCTGAGCCCAACCTGCTGCCAGGGCAGCTATCCCACGGGGCAGTGGGTGTCAAGGAGGGTCGTGTGCAGTGGATCTCTATGGCCTTTGAGTCGGTGAGCCTGGGGGCACTGCTTGTCTTGAATGTATGTCCCCTCCACTCCTGTCCCTCAACCCAGACCAGAGAAATATATCCAGACTTTGGCCTGAGGTACCTCGATCGCAGTTGTCAGTGACAAGCACTACCCCATCTGACTACACAGCTTTGTCCTTCCCACCACATAGATTAACAACCTACAGGAGGAAAGGGCCAGGAGATGCCCTGTGCCATCCTTGCGTTCCCTAGGCTCTGCCAAGGAAAGGACGGGAATGAGTGTACACATACATGCACAGAGTCATATCACCTGGCCTGGCCTCCCTGAGACCTGGCTCGTGAGTCTCTCAGGCTCGACATGGCACCCTGCTGCCTCCATGGGGAGACCAGGGTCCCAGCCTCTACCTGATCCTGGTGTGAATGACACTATGGATCGGCTCTCCGATTCCCTCTGTCCTCTAATTCTCTACCTATGAAGCAGGGTTTAAAAACCCTTCCCTAACTGGGCCTTTAATCCCAGCACTCGGGAGGCAGAGGCAGTCGGATCTCTGAATTCAAGGCCAGCCTTATCTACAGAGAGAGTTTCAGGGCAGACAGGGCTACACAGAGAAACCCTATCTGGGCAGGACACACACACACACACACACACACACACACACACACACACACAGACACACACACACACGAGACACACCTTCCCCTGCCCATTTACGGAGACACAGCCCCTTGGAGACAGAGACCAGGTGGCCGGTGGGAGGAAGTGCCTGGTCTCCAGACCCCCCCCCCCGAGGTCAGGGTTGCCTGTAGTATAAACCACAAAGCCACTGGTCTGAATCAGGGGGACTGGAGACCCAGAACCTGGTGAGTGGAATCCCAGGCTGAATTAAAGCTCCAGACAAGCTTGTCCTCCTCCTGGTAATCCTCCTTTTTTGTGAAAGATGCTATAAAACTTAGTGTCTGAATTAGTTGGCTCTTTGTTGCTGATCCCCCTCCCCCACTGAAAAATAAGAAAAGAAAGGGAAACTTATCAAAGAAAAGATTTATTTTGGCTCAGGGTTTCAGAGAGTTCAGTTCATCGTACTGAGGAAGACGGAGAACTTCCGGTAGGGCCAGGAAACAGCAATGTAGTGAGAGGGGGTGTTCCACTGGCTGTCCCTGGGAGCACCTGGGCTCCCAGCCTGTAGGGGGCGCCACCCACATCCAAGGTGAGTCTTTAGAAACCTGCGTGTTTTCCTCGCTATCTCCCGGGCATTTCTAAATATCATGGCATTAACAATAAAGATAATGTGTTACTAGTCCAGCCCTTGTCAACTTGACACCTAAATGTCTCAATCGAAGCTCTGGCCCTCCTGCCCTGGTCCTCTCTAAGGCTCATGTCCATCTCACAGTGAGAAAAAATGGACTCTTAACAGTACTGAAGTTTTTCAAAAGTCTTGATCTCAGTCTCCTCTGAGACTCAAGGCGAGCTCTCAGCTGTGAGCAGTAGTACATGGGCCCCCTTGGATCGTGGCTTCGATAGTCTCTAAGTGCCCAGGCAGCTGAACTCAGAAAAACACTGTGTTTACCAAGGAAAATCTTTCAAATGACTTGTCATTTTTATGCACTGCAGTCTAATTCCTGAGATGTGCTTAAGGCCTTTCCTAGTGTCCTAGTTCAAAATGTTTGGGTTTTCCTTAATAGTGCTAATCTATGCAACAATCCATCTCCCACAGCTTTCAACGTGCTCCCTTTGTGAGTAGACTCTATGCTTTTCAAGCCCTTCTACTCTGTTTTTGTGTTTGAATGCTCATTTGTACTGTAAATCTGGCTAAAAGTGGACAGCATTAATTATGCCACAGCCTCACTGTTATGCTGTCTTGAAACTTCCTTGGCCAAATTAATTAATCTGTCACCTTTAAATGTGTCCTCTCACAATGTTTTGAGACTGTCTTAACACCCTTCTAGTTGCTGTTTGTCTTAGTTAGGGTTTCAATTGCTGTGATGAAACACCATGACCAAAAGCAAGTTGGGGAGGAGAGGGTTAATTTGGCTCACACTTCCAGATCCTTGTCCATCATTGGAGGACATCAGGACAGGAACTCAAGCAGGGCTGGGACCTGGAGGCAGAAGCTGATGCAGAGGCCATGGATGGGAGCCACTCACTGGCTTTCTCCCCATGGCTTGCTCAACCTGCTTTCTTATAGAGGCCAGAACTACCTGCCCAGAGATAGCTTCACCTACAGTGGGCTGGATCCTCCCCCATTAATCACTACAGGCTCACCTACAGCCCAGTCTTACAGAGGCATTCCCTCTCTTAGATGACTCTAGCTTGTGTCAAGCTGACATAAGACTATCCAGCACAGTGTGATAAAATACCTGACAAAAGCAACTCAGGGGATACAGGGTGTATTTTAGCTCCCAGTTCCAAGTCACAATCCTTCATAATAAGTCATGGTGACAGGAGCTTGAGACTTCTGGTCACACCACATTTATAGTCAGGCAGCAAAAGGTAATGAAGGCATGCATGTGTGAGCTCAGCTCTACACTTTTAAAATCATTATTATTATTAGTGTATGAGTGTTTGCCTGCTTGTATGTCTGTATACCACATGTATTATTCAGTGCCCAAAGAGGCCAGAAGAGGGCATGCGATGTCCTGGAACTGAAGTTACAGATGGTTGTGAACAAGTATATGATTGCTGGGAATCAAACCCAGCTCTTCTACAAGAACAGCCCTTGATTAGCCATTGAGCAATCTGTCCAGTCCCTCAGCTCTGCAGTCTTATACACTTCACGCTTCCCTACTCAGATAATGAATGGTGCCACCGTCAGTGAGTAGTAGGCCTTGTCTCAATTACTGTAACCAAGGTAATCCCTGCTCCCCAGACATGCCCTTAGGTCTACCTGACCTAAACAGCTCCTCATTGAGAGTTTCTTCTCAGGTCATTGTACATTTTTCAAACTGACAATTAAAATTATCCACAACAGGGACATAGACAAGATGTACACAGTGTTTTTTGCTAGATTATAACCTGAGTGATCTCTAGTCTAATTCTTGCTCCCCTTTGAAACTTCAAGCACACAAGCATTACTGTCCAGATTCCTGTAGGAATTCTAGTCTTCCAAACTCCCACCAGAATGGCCCAGTAAGTTCTGGTTAGAGCAGTCTAGAGTTTTTCTAGCTCATAGGGCCAAACTTCCAAATTCCTCCTACAAACCTCTAGGAGTGTAAGGACCTGATCATGTCAGGCTCAGTTACAGCAGCAACCCCACTCCTGATACCGATTTTCTGTATTGTTGGTATTCTATTACTATGACCTAAATACCTGACTGGGATTAGGGGGAGGAGGTTAGTCCATCATGGCTAAGACTACAGTTTCCCTCCCTCCACTCCTCCTGATCCCTCTCTGCACCTCTCATCTACCCACCCCCATCCACTCCTCATCCATCTCCATTCAGAAAGGGGCAGAGCTCCCATGACATTAAACATAATTAAAGGTATCACACACCTTTAATCCTAGCACTTGGAAGGCAGAGGCAAGTAGATTTCTGTGAGTTCTGGGCCAGCATGATTCATATCGGGAATTCCTAACCTGCTAGGGCCTCATGGTGAGACCCTGTCTCAAAAGAGAGAAAAATGTCACTATTGTATTATCATTGGTACCATCCATTAATCACAAAGTCCCTGCCCTTCCTCCCAGCCCTTGGCAACCCCCACTATCTGTGTCCATGTTTAACTACACTAAATATGTCATATAAATGGAATCGCAGATTTGTCCTTTTCGTGAGCAACATGTCCTTCAAGATCTGCCCACATTATAGCATACAGTGGAACCGCCTTCCTTTTATAAGTGGCTGATACCACAGCCACCTTGAAACTGGAGATGCCCTTGATCATCTCAACCACCCAGCAGGGCATCCCCTTCCAAAATGAACCTCAGCAGCGCTCACTCACATGCATACATTCGTGTACACACGCGTGTGCGTACACACGCACACACCACATCTGTGTATAGACACGCTGAGGCTAGATCATAGCAGGAACAGAACTGGGTCAGTAAGAAACACAGAAGAAAGTCCTAGGTCACATTTAGGGCTGTGCACTATGAACTAGCAGGCTGCCCGAGGCCGTGAGCTTGTGCAATCAGCCAAGAGGCAAGCATCTGCCCACACGTGCTGAGAACTCAGAAGAGACACATCATGAACAAAAAGACAGTTTCTCAGAGGAGATGGGCCCTAGCCAGTCTTAGGGTCATGTGGAGGGGCTTCCTGGATAGGCAGAGGGTGGCACGAGGAAGCATGGAAGATTCTAAGGGTGTTGTGTTGGTCCAGAGCTAGTGGCAGTGTGTGGGGGATGGCTCAGCACCCACATCCTCACAGGACACCCTCCACCAGTGGCCACAGAGTAGCTGTCCCTAGGAAATGCAAGCAGACAAACTGGTCTCACCAGCCCATGTCCCCTGCAGACCACGTACAAGGGCAAGTCCTCCTTCCAGACCTACTCGGACTACCTGCGATGGGAGAGCTTTCTAAGGCAGCAGCTGCAGACCTTCCCCGAGGGCTCGGCCCTTCGCCGGGGCTTCCAGACCTGCGAGCACTGGAAGCAAATCTTCATGGAGATCATAGGTGGGTGTGAGTCCAACCCTCCTGGGTTGCCCAGGCTGAGTGGTGGGTAGCCACACAGGCAGCTACCCACACTGAGGGCACGGTGCAGTCTACGCCACTCTTCTGCGATTCCTCAGTCCTGGCTCAGAACCGGGGAAAGTGGCACTGCTGCCAGGCTACTGATGAGAGGCCAGAGTGTGGGTCCTCTCACGCTGGTGGCATCTGGCCATGTGTGATCTTCAATTTGGCCACATGGAAAGTAACATTCGGGCCAGTGAGAAGGCTCGGCAGATAAAAGCACTTGCGGTGCAAGCCTGATGATCTGAGTCAATCCCTGAATCCCACGGCGGGAGGAGAGAACTGATTCCATTAAGTCCTCCGACTTTGACGCGTGGTCTGGGTCACGTGGGTGCCAGCACACACGTGCAACAAATAATTTTAAAAGTAGGTCATGGCCCTTCCCAGGAGCCACCCCTCTCTGGAGGCCTGTCTAACTCCTTAAACTCCGAATAAAATTGACCTGTGGGCAGACCTTGCTGCTTCGAGAGAGGCTCGGGGTGGCAAAGCTGGCTGTACAACATCTGGAACCTCTGTTCTGGGGTCAAGGGGACCTACACTCTTTACCCTGCAGCCCCTGAGTCCCCTTCCCTCCTACCTTGCAGGGGTACAGAGCGCCCTGTATGGCCTGGTCCTCTCGCTGCTCATCTGCGTGGCCGCGGTGGCTGTGTTTACCACCCATGTCCTCCTTCTGCTGCCTGTGCTCCTGAGCATCCTGGGTAAGTGTGCCAAGGGTGATGTGCACTCTGGGTGAAACCAGCCAGGGCATGTGGCAGGTGACAACAGGCAGGCCTGGGGTGTGGTTGATGGAACAGTGGGCCAGGCTGGTGGAAATGGGACCAGGGAGGGCCCTTGTGGACCTCAAGGCAGCAAGTTCCTCTTAGCCTCTGGCCACCCAGTCCTAGCAAAGGCCATGTTGCCATTCTTGCCCCTACAAAAAAAAAAAAAAAAAAAAAAAAAAAAGGACCCTCAGCTTGGCATTTGTTACAGTGACACACAGAAACTACATGTCTGTGCTCCCTGAGTGGAGCCAAGTATTTCTGTGGCGTTGTTTGAGTGAGTGACAGGTTGCTGTACCTACCTTCTCCTTTCCCTTCTCTCTGGCATTGACCATCATCCCTCTTGACTCTAGATGTCCCTCTGCCCAGGGACCCTCTAGGACCACGTCCATAGGGAAGGATCTGAGTATACCTTTGCTTTCCGTCTTACAGGCATCGTCTGCCTCGTGGTAACCATCATGTATTGGAGTGGCTGGGAGATGGGTGCCGTGGAGGCTATCTCCCTGTCCATCCTGGTTGGCTCCTCTGTGGATTACTGTGTCCATCTGGTAGAAGGCTACCTCCTGGCTGGGGAGAACCTACCTCCACACCAGGCTGAGGTAAGCAGTCCTGTGTCTACCTGATGGCTGATCCAGCTCCGCCCCTGGGGCAATGGGAGGGCCCATAAGGACAGATAAACATCCCATATCCACCCTAAGCAAGCTGTGTCCTCGGAGCTGTTCCCAAGACTGCAGTGTCTCAGTCCACAGCCCTGGGTGCATGGAGTGTCTTCCCAGCCGTGGGAGCACAGCCCTGCAGCCCTCTGATGATGTAGTGACGGCCAAAGCTTGACGGGACCTGAAGGAAGGGATTCGGGTGGAGTTGTTCTCGTTAAACATCTGCAGCTGTGATAAAATACCCCTGACGAAGACCAGCTTAGGGGAAGAAAGGTCTGGCTTATAGTTCATAGTCCACCATTATGGACGATTAAGGGCAAAAACTTCAGACACCTTGTCATTTACTTCTTGGTCTAGGGCAGAGAAAAATTGAATGCTTGCCCTCTGACCCCTTGCCCTCTGACCCTCTGGCCTTCTGACCCCCTTGCCCTCTGGCCCTCTGACCCCCTTGCCCTCTGACCTCCTTGCCCTCTGACCCTCTGACCCCCTGGCCCTCTGACCCTCTGATCCTCTGACCCCCTGGCCCTCTGACCCTCTGACCCCCTGGCCCTCTGATCCTCTGACCCTCTGACCCCCTGGCCCTCTGACCCTCTGGCCATTTGCTCTCTTGCTATCTTGCTCTCTTACTTGTACTTACTTTACTGAGCCACTGTCACACACACAGTTCAGGGCCTCCCCTGCCTGGGGAACGGTGCCGCCCATGCTAGGCTGTGTCTTCCCACATCTGTTAACCACCCCCAACAACCCAACCGGTGTAGACAGTGCCTTACTGAGACTTTCTCCAAGGTGATTCTAGGTGTGTCAACTGTCCTGGCTTTGATGTGAAGACAGTGACAAAAAGGTGGCAACATTAAGTCAGCTACACTTCTCATCGCTTTTGGGTTAAAAGAGTGGAATAACCCCGTCAGAGCTCCCGTTTTTAAGGACCCACCATGCATACCCTCCTGTCCTATCCTAATAGCATGCCTGCACCCTGTGGCGTCCATCGCTGTCCCGCTTATGGGTGGGAGCCAGTCTCGGGCAGACAGCCTGGGGCAGCAGTATCTGCTCACCTACTCCAAAGTCAACCCCCAGGCCCGTTGTCCGCAGTGGGTGCTCAACCCCAGCTCCCTCTCTCTGCTCTGCCTCAGGACGCCCGCTCTCAGCGCCAGTGGAGGACTTTGGAGGCCGTTCGGCATGTGGGCGTGGCCATCGTGTCCAGTGCCCTCACCACCGTCATTGCTACCGTCCCGCTCTTCTTTTGCATTATCGCCCCATTTGCCAAGTTCGGGAAGATCGTGGCGCTCAACACGGGCGTGTCCATCCTCTACACGCTCACCGTCAGCACTGCCCTGCTGGGCATCATGGCCCCCGGCTCCTTCACCCGGACCAGAACTTCCTTCCTCAAGGCTCTGGGTGCCGTGCTGCTGGCAGGAGCCTTAGGGCTGGGTGCCTGTCTTGTGCTCCTGCGTAGTGGCTACAAGATCCCCCTGCCCAGTGGCACTACGCTATAGCCCTTTGTTTGGGTCCTGACTGAGGCATCTCATCCTGCAGCCAAGGACCAGGGGACCTGAGACTCTGGGGCTCTTTGTTTTCTGTCCCAGTTCCAACTAGTTCTGCTCGCAGGCCTCGTGGAACTGGGACCCAGAGCTGTGTGGGCCACGCCACCTCCATCACAGCTCAGACTGGGAGTGAAGTCTGATAGCCCCACACTATCTGGGCGGCAGCCCCGACTGCGGTCCTCCTGGCCATGGAGGACACTGGTCACCACCAGACAGGTGGCTTGCTACCAGGGTCTCCTCTCACACTGCTTCAGTGTTCACAACCCGCTTGGATGGGCCTTTCAGGACTCCCACTCTACAGATGTGGAAACAGGCATCAGGAGGCAGGGACTGCCCTGTGGCTGGATCAGGGCAGAACCGGAGTTGCCTCAGAGCATGGGCCTCCCTGGGCCTTTGCAGGAAGAGCACAGTGGATCCAGGGGGTGGGCACACTCCCTGAACCGCACCCCCTCAGCTTTATACAGCCAGTGTTTGGAGACCCTGTGATCCTCACCAGGCCTGTGTCCAGGCCAGCAGAGACAGAGGCACTTCCTGGGGTCATGCATGTCCTAGCCTCAGCCCCAGCCTCCAGGGAGCCTCAAAATCCCTCCCTGGAGCCCTGGCTCAGCCACCCCCATAGATCCCAAACCTCATCTCCCTCACTTGACTGAGATTGGATAAGCCGTGTGTGGTGGGGTGCTGCACGCACAGGGAGGGGCTGGCCGCACCGGCTGCCTGCTCATGGCAGATGCTCCTTATTAAAGTGAGATGGAATCGCAGACCGCTGCTATTAACACAAGCATTTTCAGCCTCGCTGGCTCCATCATGTTCTTAACATTGAAATAACTAAGTGTCCACACGCAGCCTGGCACACAGGGTGGTGGCACCAGACCTGAACAGACACGGGAGTGGGTAGCAGCTGTCCAGTACAGGGATGGGACACTCTTGGTTCAGTGTGAGGCTGGGGCCTCCCGTGGGAGGTGGGACCCAAAGGATGCTGCTGACTTTATGGGGCCCATCCAGCCCCACAGTTGGGCATCTTTCAAAGCCTGGCATTGTGACAGCCACTGGCCTTCCTGGGAATAGACACTGTGACCTTGGGTTTGTAGCTGGACACAGCCTGAGCTGGGACAGATCCCTGATGGGGAGAAAGGAATCCACACCCCAGCTCACCTGGTCACTAATAGCTTTTGAAGGGAGGGCTGTGGTGCAAGACAGATACCGTGTGCTTGCCTAGCGTGCACCTGGCACGGTGTGGTGCCCAGTGTTTGTTGAGGGGATAGAAACCTTTGGACCCAGCACCCACAGTGAAGAAACTAAATGATCACTGTAAGGGCTGTTGTGTTACACAGCAGATGCTCTTCTCAGAGCTGGTACTCCCTTCCTGAAGAGCCATGATGGCATCACAGATGTCTGCATTGGAAGAGGCCCCTCAGCTCTGATAACAGGGCTGCTCCCTCTGAGAATCCAAAGAGGGAATCTGGTCGAGCACACACACCACCACCACCCCCTGCTGCTGGGCATCTGCTGGCCTTCATGTGCGTATCATTTGATGTCCTCGTCTCTCCCTAAGAGGGACATCTGTCATGCTGGAGTTGGCCTCACCCTACTGACTCTGTCTTAACCTTGTTGGCTTCAGAAACCTCACCCCCAGTAAACTCTTGTCCGTGGTGACTACATCAGTGTCCATGGTGACTACATCAGGACCACAGCATACGTGGGGCAGAATTGTCACACACAGGAGCCCGGTCTTTTCCTTTCTTTTTTTTTTTTGGGGGGGTGGGGTGGGGTGGGGGTGGGGAGTGGGGGAAATTCAAGACATGGTTTCTCTGTGTAGCCTGACTTTTCTAGAATCCCAGCTCATGCCTGAGACTAAAAGCACACACCACCACACCCAGAAGGAGTCAGTACTTTTGATGATGAATTCAAGGGAACCAACACATGAGAGATGGGTTTTCCAGAATCACAAGCATATAACCTCTCACAGAGGCAGGCTGTATGTATTACTAGAGGGTTGGAGGCTGAAGTCAGATCATGGGGCCTGTTCTTGAACTGCTGAAGCAAGTTCTTGGATCTGCCTAGCCTGACACACTCTCTTCTTGGTAAAGCTGGAGCCCTGGGAGACCTGTCACTAGGGGAAAGGTCTCAGGGAGCAGGCTGGTTCTGACCCAGGGCTTCTGGAGCCCATTGTGCAGCAACCACATATACAGGATCCATCTAGCTGACCACACCATGGAGTGTGGTGTTAATGGCAGGTCAAGGGAGTTGGAAAAGGGCCTGGCAGATTGACAGCATATCCCAGAAGGACTGATGCCTCCAAGACCTTGTCCTGAGATCTTCCCGATAACCCAGTTTAATGTAGAGCTGGGTCGTTAACATGCTGTCCACATGCCTAGCCCCTTACTTTAAAGGAACAGCTCATTCTTCCCTGGACCTCTACCTTTTCAGAGGGCTGTGGGGATACTGGGCAGGTGGGCTGAGGATAGAGGGGACTGTGGCTCAGGCTCCCTAACTTCTGGGCATCTCTGTGACACTTGGGACTCCTGTAAATCAGCCTTCAGTTTACAGATGAACAGTCTGGGTATCAAAGAGGGGCAAGTGCATATGGCACACTGACTTCTGGCCAGGCTCTGTCTCCTCCAAGAATGACAATCTCAACATCCAATTGTAGCTGCTCAGCCATACTTCCCTGCCTTCCTGGAGCTCCTGTGTAGCGACTAATGGACCCAGTTCCCACCTGGCTCTCCCAGCGCAGGGGCAGGCCTGGGAGAAGGAGGTGGTAGCAGGTTGGGTGCCCTAGGGAACTTGGGCTACACAGATGTCTGCCTCTTTGATCCCCTTCATCTTCTTTGTGACTGCTGACACCACCGGGTCCCAGAGGCACCAACTCCCGTGAATAGAGGCTTGACCTTCCTTTGACGCCAATGTGGACTGCAGTCTTAATGGGCTTCACTGAGCTTAATGAGATCTCTGTTCATCTGAGCTCAGCAACCAGCCTGGGGGCCCTGGGATGTGCCAAGGTGACAGTCCTCCCTATAGAGGAGGGGCCAAGGGCATGAGTGGGGTCTGAGGGAGTGAAATCCCTTCACCCACTAAAGGCTCCTTGGCCTCACTTCTCCACCAAGCCCAGGTGTCAATGACAGCTGCTTTTAAGGGGTGTTCCTTGTCCCTTGAGAGTCCTCAGTGTGACTCAAGAAAGTGCCTTTGTCTTGTTCCATTAAGGAAGCTGCAGACAGAGACATGTCCCTGTCCTGTTCCCTAGCTGACCACTAGCTGTGAGAACAGACAGGACTATGCCCACCTCCCCATCTGCCAGAGGCTGCTGTGTTTTGTCCTGGGGAGAGTGCGGGTACAATGGGTAGTCTTTCCAAACAGAAGCCCACTCTCATCTGCCTGGTGGGTGTAAAAGTTTGGCGATGAGGCTATGGGGAAGGAGGTTCTCAGGGATCTCCTGTTGGAGTGTGTAATCTGCTCAGCCATGCAGGGCTGTTTGTCAGTAGCAGAATTATAGCCACCTTTGGATTCAGCACCCTTGCTCCTGCGAATTGATCCTGCAGATAAACTTAACCCTGGCCAAGTGCAGAAGGTATGCACTGAAGATCGGTCTGGCTTATCAAAGAACACCCCCATCCATCAGCACCGGAACAGGGGAAGTGAGTTGCATAGGTCTGTGCTCTCTCTGCAGCTGAAAATCAATGAGGGGGCTTCCCAGGTGCGGGGATAGGAAATTGCCAATGAAGATTAAATGGGAGGGGAGGTTGTAAAACTGTGTGGAATACACTAGCTTGTGTGTTTGAACAATACCCAAGCAGGTGAGAACCTGTACTTGTTGTTTTGTTTTGTTTGCATGTGCATTAAATAATTCTGGAGAACAATACAAGGAGAAACGGGAAGAGTGGTTACCTGTGTGTGCTGGTGTAGAAGCTGCTCTGAGGCAGAGGGCCGTGGAGAAAGCCTCCTACCATAAATCTGTGTGCACTCGCTGCTCTGACTGCGGGGATCGATCATGTACATGATTTTCTGGTAAAGAGAGGGGTGGCTGATGCTGGCTTCTCCAGAAGCTCACTCCAGCAGCAGGAGATGAGGGGTCCCACTACAGGCCTCAACAAACATGAGCTGACATGTTACATCTGATGCCGTTCTAGGAGCTGCTGGTGACAATGCCAGGTGCCCACCTTGCAAGCAAGGACAGGGTTGGAGCTAGAGAGACGGGGTGAACAAAGCGGTTGTGGCCCTGATAACCTCCCCCACTCCGCCCAGGTGTAGATGAATGAATAGGCAGTGAAGATGTTCAGAATGGGCCGCCTTGGGGAGCAGGAGGTCAGCGCTCGGCTCATTGCCTCCCTACCACACTCTCACAATAGCACCTTCATTCTGCCTCCGTTGGCCTTGTGTCGGAGCAAGTCACACATTCCATCTTTACCTGCTTGCTCACCCGTTAAATAGAATAATACCCACTGAGTGTGGTTTCTGTGCTTTAACATGATGATGTTTGCCCAGGCCGTGGCCACAGTAATACCTGCCATGCCATCTTCTTGGTCATCTTTCTTATCAGCCGGGTCTCTCCCAACCCTGAGTAGATGGTAGTGTTTAGCATCCCAAAACTCTCTGATAAGCAGGAGCTGATACTCCCCAGCTGTCCTTCTGACTGGGGTGGAATATGCTTTCTTTCCCTATTGACCGGAAGCCTGACTGTGGGATCAGGCAAGGAGGAAGCAGTAAAGGCTTGAAATCTGGCTGTCCCTTTCTGTTTCTGCCTCTCTGAGCCTACTGGCTGGGCTCCAGGGAGCTGAGAAGCCACTGGGACCAGCCTGACTCCAACACTGGCCTGCAGCCAAGCCTAGACGGTCCTAGCATAGATCAGACCCCAAGTGGACAGCAAATGATTAGTACTGGAAGACTCTGTTTGCTATGCAGCGCTCTAGCAGCAACAGCTAAAGCCCTGCCTAGACCCTCTAGAGTTCAACTGAGGGTTCTTCACACAGCTTTCGGGGCTCTACAGGGCCTC